CAGCAGTTCGAAACTACCAGCTGTTCCATGGGAGAAAGATGAGGCTTTCTGCTCCCGTAAAGATTTATAGCCTCAGAAACCCTGTATAGGGTCGCTATGAGTCGGAACCGACTGCACGGCACATAACAACAACAACAATACACATGGAGCTCTGGTAGCATAGTGGTTGAGTTAGGCTGCTAACCTAAAGGTCACCAGTTTGAAACTACCAGCCGTTCCTCCACAGAAAGATGAGGCTTTCTGCTCCCGTAAAGATTTACAGCCTCAGAAATCCTATTCAGAGTCGCTATGAGTTGGAACCGACTCCACGGCACACCACCACCACCACCACCACTATATATATTATGGAGTCCGTTGGAGGATAAGTACTCTACCATATGATCAGTTTGAACCATACAGGGTTGCTATGAGTTGGAATAGACTTGACGGCCTTTAACAACAGCACCAACATATCATGGAGTCCTGGTGTGGACTGCAAGGTCAGTGGTTCAAACTCACCAGCCACTCCTTGGAAACCCTACATAGGGTTGCTATGAGTTGGAACTGACTTGATGGCACTTAACAACAACATATATATCACATATGAGGGGACTTCAAAAAGTTCATGGAAAAATTCCATTATCTTTTAATTCCATTTTCCATGAGCTTTTTGAAGCCTCCTCATATATATGCATATATTTATTTTCTGATCTTTTGTCAACTTTAATTCCTGTTTGTTAGGTTATTAATCTTATAACACCAGATCCCTCCCTGGAGATATTCTTCAGCCACTTTTACTCGGATTCTGAATTTCTGTATAAATGTCTCTTCCGAACTGTTCTGCTTTCCATTGACTTGGTCTGCGCAATAAGCTGAGGCTCAGGCACCCTCATCTGTCCCAGTTGAAAGCCCTCTTAACAAACGGATATAAACATTCTGGGTCTTCCTCCTAAGTGAATGTGTGAGTCTGTGTGGAGAGGAATCGGGGGATGGGCTGAGAGTGTCCTCCATCTCATCAGTATTAGGAAGCTGGAAGGAGTGTGTAAAGGTGTGTGTGTGTGCAGGGGCATGAAGAGCTATGAAGTGGGGTTCACATGCACCTGTGGCCAGTTCTTAGATGTCTGCTAGTGAAAACCCCTAATTCCTCAAAGTGCTGGCCTGGTCAGATGACCATAGGAGCCACCCCTGCCCTGGGCCTCAGCCACTTTCAATCTCACCTTCACAATGTCTCACAAGCCACCCCACCTCACTTCACCCCCATGCCTTTTCCTTACCTCGACTTCCTGGTCCCCTACCCATCCACCAGTAAAACTTGGCACCAGGAGCCAACTTCCTGGCCACCCAAGGGCCTTGGTAAAGGCCTTTCCATCATTATCCATGAAAAATTCCCTTTGGCCTGGTTAATCCTAGTTCCAAAAGCTGCTTAGGCCCCTGGAGGCCTTAGAAAGCGCTTGGAACTTGAGTTACAGGGAGCAAATGGACTATAGATGAAGGAAAGTCATTCTCTGGCCCTACCTGGGGAGGCTGCTCCAGAGCACCTCAAAAATTCAACCAAGCTCACTTCATGGGGCACTGTCCTTCCCACGGGGGAGAAGAGGCATAAGGTCCAGAAAGGTATGGTGGGAACAGACCCTCCCAACCCCATCTCAGCACCCACAGTCAGCTTGCCACAGGGAATTCAGAGAAGCTTCCCCTCTTCCTGAGCAAGACATGGAGCCAAATGTCCTATTTCCTGCCCAAGCACACTGCCCAGGGAGGGTCCAGGTAGGGGACAACAGCAGCATTACCTGTGACAGCCTCTCCACACATACCTCGAGCTTCTCTGCCTCTGTTCAAGAACTTCCCTGCTGGGAACACCCCCTTCTCCATTCCACCTCCCCTCTGCCCACCTGAACCTTCCCAGGCTGAGGCCTGTCTGAGCCCTCATCTCTACTGGAAGACCCCCTATCCTGTGGGAAGTGGTAGTTATCTGTCTGCCCCTCGGTCTTTTTCTCTCTAAGGAAGCTCACTTAGCACAGATGTGAGTGCTAACACTCTTCTGAACACACTGTAAGAGCTTCTCAGTAGGCCTGCCACCAAGTGAGAGCCAGTTTCCCTGTCTGTAAACTGCAGATAATGGCAGAGTTTCCCCCTTGCAGAGTCACATGAGGATTAAATGCGATAATGTACATATATACAACGTCTAGGAGAGATCTGACACAGCTGTGACTGGAATCATTATCCACAAGTCGTAGGTGCCCCATGCTGCAGAATGAGATGAGGGACAATGCACAGTTCAAATGCCTCAGATGCAATGCTCTCTCTCCTATCCAAATGCATTCCCTGAGCTGCCATCTCCCATCTTGCTCTTTGTTCCTCTGTGACCTCAGCAGGAACCCAGAGCACCCTCAGCAGATATCCAGGGACCTCACTGTGGAGGTGCTCATGATACTCAGAATGGCATAAAGTTGACCGGGCTAGCAATAAGGCCCTTGAACCCCACTATCCACCACAGTCAATACATACACACACACCCCACAGACCCTACGGGATAGCATCAAGTGCTCACCTCAATGGCCTTGTAGAAGATGCTGGTGCCGATTTGGACCACCTCCAGGTTCTGTTCCTGTTCATTACGTGCGCACTTAATGTAGGTCATCCAGCTTCGGTGGTCCTCCTGGCTGGCATCAATGAAGTAGCGCACTGTGCCATCTTCATTGAACACCTGTGTGCAGTTGGAATGAACACACCAAGTAAGGCAGGGCATGTGCCGCTTGTGGTCCAGACCAGTCCCCGTGCCAAGCACATCCTTGCACTCTTTCTCTCCATCCTTGAAATGGTCCCAGGAAATGAATACAGCTGCTATCATCTCCATTTTCCAGATGAGGAAAGGGAGACTCGGAGAGAATGACTTGTCTGAATCCATCCAGTTAAAAGTGACCAACAATGAGTTGATCCCAGAGCCCCATGTGTTTCTGCTGGCACATCCTCCCCATGCCTAGAAAAGGGCCTCCATGGAAGTACTGATCAGACTAAGTGACGTCCAGTTAGCTCTGCTAGGAATGCAAAGATGCTGTCTGGAACAGTGGGAGTAACCGGTTGGGACCTCAGAGGGGACCTGAGAACCTGGAGAGGAAGGCTGGCTCCTTGTGGCACCCTTACCTTAGCCAAGCCTCAGCCCTTTTGTGGAAGCTGCCAAGGGCATTCAGAAGCAAAATCAGACCCCAACTTCCTTGCCCAGCAACAATCACTGGCCCAGACCTCCCAGCAAAGAGAAAGTAAGGTTAGGAGAGGCTTCTGGGCTGTCGCCCGGTCCTGTTCTCCTGCTCCACTGTCCAGCTGCAGAGTTTGTTATTTTGGACTCCTCTGAGGTATACCTAAGAAGCCCTGCTGGTGTAGTGGTTTAAGCACTGGGCTGATAACTACCAAGGTTGGTGGTTCAAGCCCACCAGTTGTTCCTTGGGAGAAAAATGAAGCTGTCTACTCCCGTAAAGATTTAATCTCAGAAACCCTAAGAAGTACTTCTACTCTGTCTTTGTTGTTGTTTTTGCTGTTAAGTACTATTGAGTCAGTTCCCACTCATAGTGACCCTGTATAGGGTTTCCCAGGAGTGACTGATGAGTTTGAATCACCAATCTTATGCTTCAAACCGACCTTGTGGTCCAGTGCTTATTCTACAGTGTCACACCAGGATTCCTAAAGGGTCAGAATTGACTCATTGGTAGGTGGTGGATTTGGGGAGGTCTACAGGTGGAGGCTGTGATGGAAAAGCAGAGGAGGGTAGGGGGCTAAGAGGAATAGGAGGTGGGTGGATAGACTAAGGAGTAAACCAGCCTGGCCTGGGGGTGGGGGGTTCCCAAGAAGAAGGCTGCAGGACTGGGTTTGTTCTAAGCGGGCCCTCCCTGGTATTCACACACTAAGAGGGGATAGTCAGAAAGCCGGGGATAGAAGCAGCCTCTCTGAACTTTGGTTACGTTTTTGTATAATGAGGGTAATGACAGTTCTGTTCAGTGGGCTGTTAAAATCATAGATAGCAGGATGATGCAGGTGGGACTCATGACAGTAGGCAATGACCGTTTTGAACATTATTTTTCCGTCTGGGTTGACAAGCTGATTCCCAGGAAGTGCCAGCTTTGGCCATTCTCCATCCTCAGCCCAGGGCTGGCTTTGAGAGGCATCCCTATGATGCTCCCCAGAGCCAGGGTGCTGGAGGGTCATTCTCACCCACTTTAGCCCCATGGTTTCCTATTTCACATTGGGACCCTGTACAAGTTACTTGTCTCTCTGGATCTCAGTGCCGTGGTTTGTAAACTGGGGCCAAGAATAGTAGTGCTTGAAGGCTTGCCTGAAGGAAGAGGGTCAGATTGTTCCGAATGTGACTTTTGTCTTGGCATAGACTTGGGGACAGGGGGCACATTATTATTCCAAAGTGTACGGTTTGGGGAGGAGCATCCTAGCTCAGAGAGCTCCAGGCAACTGAAGGCACGGGATCCCGCTTCCCGCGGCGGCTTCGGGCTGGTAGCGTCTGCTGCTCCCAGGGACTGCTAAGCGGCGGCAGTCCTGAGCCTGGGTCCCACCCGCGGGCTCGGGCTCGCAGTCCCGACGTCCCGCACCCTTCTGCCATCAGCCTGCGTACCTCCCACATGAGGTTGTTGTTCTTGCAGATGTCCACGTGCTCCGGGGCGATGACGCGGCCGGTGAAAGGGCCCATCTCAGTACCTGCCTTGATCCACGTCTTGGAGAAGATGCCGAGGCCCTCGCCCGGGATGGAACTCTGCGCAATGATCACCTCGGCCGGCAGCACCAGGCTGGACAGCTTTTGAACCTCTGCGGTCGTGGAAGCAGAAGACTTGGTCAGAGACTGATGCTGGGAAGAAGCAGCCCTCCTCCAAGCGACCAGTGTCCCAAACCTGCCTGTCCAAGCCAACCTCAATTGAGCCCCAACTCCGGAGAAGTCACTTCGCTGTGTGCATGTGTTGTGCGTGTGTGGGGCGGGGGGCGGGAGAGAGAGTGTGGAAACTCAGGAATCACGATCTCTTTCATTTGCATCTGTGGACCCTCCCTCCCTGCCCTCCAAATCTAGGGGTACGTTGGAACTCGTTTCTAGATTTGTTTGCTTGCTTCTCCACGAATTCTCAAAGCTCACACACACTAAAAAAGTTTAAGAGCTGCTGCGACGGCTGAACGTGTTTTATAGATGAAGAAAAAGGAGGAGGTGATGGGCAAGCTGGGCGCTTCTCTCGCAGCTTGGCGCCCATGAGCGTCCTGATACCCAGCACTGACGGAGTACCTGAGATGTGGTCAGGGGTTCGGGTTCATTTTGGGATTTGGGGAGGCCCCGCACCCGGGGCGGGTTAGCAGCGCTTGGGACAGAACTCGCGGCTGGGGAGTTGCGGAAGCGCAAAAGAAACGGAGGCGCAAAAAGAAAAAAGTGGTCTCGGGCTGCCTGCGTTCGCTGCAGCTGTGTGATTCGGACGCGCCAAGATCCCTCTCTGCTCCCAGGCTGCTAACGGAGCTAGGTTTTCTGGGCCTTCGGGTGTGGACTGGGCTCATAAGTTTGGTTTCGGCTCCCCAGGCCTTTCCCGCAGTGCGGGGACTAGAGTCTAGAGGCCTCCCCACGAGTAAGCCTGGTGCCAGATAGGGCGGTGCCCGGACCCGGGTGGGCCCCGTAGTCGCCTCTTTAGGTGGAGAAGAGTTTGGGAGGCCCACCACCGCCGGGAACCCCCGTCCAGCATCAGCAGCCAGGGTGGGAGCAGTGAGGCGCACAGGGGCCGCCTCCATGTCTTACAAGGTTCCCCTCTAAGCTACCTGGGAAAATACCCGGCGAGCGGGCCGGCTGAAAGGGGGGGTTAAACGGTGTCCATTGCGGCGCGGCCGGCAATTTGTCACGCTGTTAAAGTGATCGTATTCATTCGGCTCCATTCGAAAGAAATTGCTAATTCTAAATTCATTAGCCCTGGAAGAATGCTGTAGCAGTAAATTGTAGCTCAATGCGGAGGGGACTTGTTTAAAAGGGGCCGAGGAATTCCCCTTACAAAAAGGGGGGATTAGCTGGTTGACATAACGTGAATGGAAGTGGAATTAGTCTTCACGGTAAATTAAGAGAGGAACAGAAATCGTAAAGGGGGAAGAGAGGGCGACGCGCAGAGATGCCAGCGCTAGGGAAAGATATTGTTTGCGGGTTGATGAATGAGGAATAAGAACTTGAGACATCTTAAAGAAAAGAAACTTTTCTCGCTCTCTCTTTCTCTCCCTCGCTCTCTCTGCGGCTTTTTCTCCGGGAACGCCCGCCCTCCGCCCCCTCCGCAGCCCCTGCTGCCTTTTAAAGTTCTTGGTTTAAGTGGGAACTTTCTCGGGTCAAGCCCAAGTTAACTAAATGAATTTAAAATCCCTTCTTTTTGAGTCAACTGCTATTACACGCCTAGTAAGGCTTTAAATGCCGGGAACCCGCCGGTTCAAAAGGGGGAGGGGAGGACAGGAGGGTGCTGGAGCGGAGGAGCCGGGCGGTCTGGACGCCTGCGACCCTCCTTCCAGTCTCGCGTATTGAGGGCCACAACGGGCGCGACCTGACTTGACTGCTCATGTTCTGGTTCTGTCCACGCGGAAACTGAGGCGCACGGATCGTTAAGAGCGCACAGGTTGGGGCCAGAATCCATGAGGCTCGGTGTTCCCAGTGTATCCGGTGCAGTGACCGAGGCGGGATTCGGGGTCTGGGTGGAGGGGACGGGTGGGCACCAACGGCGTGACTCACCGCCCGAAAAGGACTGCGCCAGGACCTCGGCGGTGAAGGCTGTCTTGGGGCTGGCGTGGTGACTCTTGTCCTCGAAGAGCTGCTCACCCAGCACGTTGCGCCAGCGGCCGTACAGGAAGCTGTGCAGGATGTCGGAGGTGATGACCTCGGCCAGCGCCAGCCCGGGCGCCTTCAGCCCAGTCTTGAGCACCAGGGCCTCAGCCGGGAGCACGGAGCCCATCATGGGCGGCCCGGGGCTCGCGGGCGCCTGGGTATGGACAGCCGGGCGGGCGCGCCGACGCGGGGATGTGGCTGGCTAGAGGGAACAGAGGCGTGTAAAGGAGAGGGCTGTGAGAGAGAAGGAAGAAGAACAGTGGGAGGACGATGAGGAGGACGACGCAGGAGGGAGCAAGAGGCGAAGGGCTGTCTGGGAGAAAAGCAAACGAAGGGAGAGAGGACAGAGGCTGAGAGAGATGGAGAAATCAGCAGAGATGGCAGAGGCGGTGCGAAGAGCTGAAGAGACAAGGGTGGAGGCGGAGGCGGGTGCGAGGGTTCAGGGTGAGTGGGAGGCGGGTAGCTGGCTGCAGAGAAACGGCTGTGAGGGGCTCTTGGACGCGCGCTCGCCTCTCGCACAACCAGTCCGGACGGTTTTCCCCTTGGCAAAATCTCAGCGCCTTTATAGGAGCCGCAGTGACCCTCCTAATTGGTTATTAATGACCCCCTGACGTCGGAGGACAGACTTGTTGTACCCGGCCCGGCTCGAGGAGTCTTCGCCGCGAGAGCGCGAGGGGCGGGGGCGTGCGGGCAGCTCAGCACCTTCTCCTCCCCTCCCTGCCCCTCCCCAGCCCTTCCTCCCCACTCCTCCTCCTCTCCCCGTGGGAAGCGCGGAGCAGGGAGGGAGGCTCAGCCCATCGCGAGGAGAGGAGAGGACCAAGCTAAGGAGGGGGCGCGGCAGGACTCGCTTGGGGTTTCAGGGCCTGGACTGGACAGGATGGTACGCTGGGCTTTGGGCCTGGCGAGCCGGGCGCTTACCCTGGTACTCGCCGGCTGGCCATGCACTTAGGTCCCCACACCGTTTTCACCTTTCTCGGCTTTGCCCGGTCCAGCCCTGCCAAGCCGGCCCACTCTCCCTTCCTGGCCGGGCTCTGCCCTCCTGCGCTCTAGATCGCGGAAGTCGCCCTGGAGTCCGCGGCCGCTCACTGGGGCTGCGCTGACCTTATGCGCAGAGGGTGATGTGGAAGCCAGCTCATCGCTTCAAATGGGTCGCACCGATCGCCCGGCTAGCTGCGCGTATCCCAGCGCGAATCCCATACCGAATGAGCTGGCTGCCAGACTGAGGCCGCAGCCGCCGTCGGGGCTGGGGCCAAGCCCGGATCGGCTTCGGGAATGGCAGTCTCTGGGCCCTAGGGGACTAGGTGGCGGGTCAGAAGAACTGACTGGAACTTGCACAGGTCGCCAGTTACTCGGAAAGGTTTTCCTGCGGGATACACATTTGGGGAATTGGGAGCGGTACTTGGGCCCTGCCCGTTCTGGATGAGACGCAGCCCAGTTCCCTGAGCGAACATCTCGAAATCTTCAGACAGTTCCAGGCCGAGTCGACATACTGCCTTGCTGGCAGCTGGGGCCTCGGGGCTTCTGGCTCAGTCGCCACCTAGGGAAAACCGCTCTGGTTCCCGCAAGATTTCCTTCTTGACTCCCAGTTCTCTTTCTTTTCCTTCCTACCTTCCTTTCATTTCCTTTCAATTTCCTCTCCCCTCGGTTCACCTCACTCCATCAGTAGAATTTCTGCGCTGGGGTTATCGGGCACAGTTGTCAGAACGCCTGCTGGCGCGGACCCTCTCCAACGATGTTTCGCCTGGAGCCAAGGCAGGAAGGCTGTCGCTTCCTGCGGGCTTTGCTGCCTCTTGGGGTTAGCTTCAAGCCTCCATACCTGACAAAGGTATGCGTGATGGGTGCACCTCTCGCACCTGTCGGATCCGTCGGCCCCTCCCCCACGTGAAGCTGTAGTCCTAGACGGTTTACAGGTTAGGTTTCAGCTGTGCGGCCAGGGTTCCTCAGGCCTTTCCTGCATTTCGGGACTGGAACCACCCCACGAACGAACCCCTTGACCTAATGTCTTTTGGCAAAGAAGCCCTTCCACCACGGTGTCTGGTCTTTGCTAAATCAGCCTCACACCTGGCGGCCACTGACCTGCGGCCCGGCCCTGCGTGTCTGGTTCCCGACCGGGGTTTCTGGGAACCTGTGGCTAGCGACTGGGAGCAGAAGACAGAAGGCGGAGAGCCGCCAGCACTCAGACCCGGAATTGGGTCGGCCCTAGGATGATGTCTGGGGATGGCTGCACCCCGCAAAAGGCGCGACCGACGGACCAGCACCAGCAGAGGGCAGCGCTGTGGAGGATCGAGCGCGGCCCGAGAGGTAGGAACTCAGACCTCGGCTCTGTTTCAGACGTCCTAGGCTTGTCGCTGGCTAGCGCGTGAACTGAGGGTTCGAGCCAGAGGGGGCGTACGCAATCGGATGACTCTAGGTTTAGGAAGTCTCATCCGAACTTGGGCCAACTTGGCTTCTCCAAAAACTCGCTGGAGAGAAGAACGGCCAAGGGCAGAGGAGACTACAGGCCTGCGTACCTCTCATCTCTCAAGTTCTGCAGCCAACCTTGGCGCCTCAAGAAGACGGAAGGGGCATTAGGACTGCTGTGCATCCATGGGACTCCCTTCTCTCTGGGACTCAGTTTACTTGTATGTACACTGGTTTGGATCGAACTTTGCGAAGTGAAATTTATTTCTTCTCGCTTCATGTTTCTTTCGGTCTTTCTTTACTCCCCAAATCCCAAGGATTTTGCCAATTTTGGGGGTCGCTCCCTAGTGAGAAAAAGTTCTAAGGTCTGTGCGTCCCTATGTCCTGGGGCGCAGTATTTAGGTCATGGAACCCAAATCACGAACAGGTGATGCAAGTCGAAGGTTCTGGGGAGCGGGGTGGAAGCGGAGCCCAGAGCTGCGTCCCAGCTCGTGCACCCGCGGGTCCTGGGCATCTTCACTACTCGATCGAAGTTTATGTTTCTGGCCCAGCCTCAAACCTACCGGGACAAACACCCCAGGGGAAAATGTCCACTGGAATTGAGGAGCAAGGTCTCAGCGTGTCTACCTGTCCTCATTGAGATGGCGATGGGAAAAATCGCAGGTTCGGGGTCTCCACGAGTTTTGCGGGAGGTCAAGGCATGGAGACTGCCCACCAAAGCCCCCTCCCTTCGGTCCTGCTCGGCTAGATCGGAGCTCGCAGGCGCGGTCCCCCCAGGCGCCCGCGGACTGCAGCTCCGCGAGCTCTTTAATATTCATGGGCGTTAATAGAGAGGCCCCCAGTATATCGGTCCATTGTGGGCGGCTCGTAGGGCTTGAATAGGCCCCGGCCCCCTTTCTTTGGCGCGGCTTCCCGAGGGGCCAGGCCAGGAGTGAATGGCCCCGCTTCCCGCCCCGCGCCTCCTCCCCCTTGCGGGGAGAACATCTTTATCCCCGTCGCCGCCGCTGCTGCCACCGGGGCCCCCATTCACGCGGCCCCAGCTCCGGGCGGAACAAATCAATTGGCTGCGGCTCTTCGGAGGTCATTCCTCGCGACCGGGGCTCCCCCTTTCCAGAACCCACGGGTGTGGAAAGAGAGAGACGGTGGCAGTTCCACGGATGTTGGAAGGGAGGCGACAAGACTGGGAAGGTTGGAAGGGGTGGCAGCGGCCAGGGCCGGTTGGCCGTAGAGGGACTCAGGTCCTCGCAGTAGTTCCGGGGCCGGCGGATTTCTACTTGTTGCCCGGTGCTGGGCGGAGCCGAGATGAGGGACATGGCAATGGCTCTAGCCGGGCTGTCGGTCCTGCCTCCTCTCGAGGTACTGGCGCACTACCCTGATGGTTCTGCAGCTGCAGCCGAGGGACCCAGGGTGCGGGAGGTAGCCCAAGTCTTGCTAGGCCCGGCGGCCGGGTCCACGGGTCATTTTCGTTGTTGCGCGTACTCCCGGGCTCAGCTCCGGGACATCGAGGGGACTTTCGGAGGGGGGGGGGCATGCCCCGTTCTCACTCGGCGAGTCGGACAGGCGGGGCGGAGACGCATGGATCCCCTCCCTGCTCGCCCCGCCCGCCTTCGGAGGCGCAGAAAGAAGCCCATTGTCCGCCGAGAAATACATTTTTGGGGGCCGAGTGAAAGCCCGTCTTTCTTTTGAACTTTAGAAGAAAGTCTTCTGCCCTCGCCCCTGGGAGGGAGAGATTTGTCCTCCCTTTCCTGGCCCCAGCGCGCCTCCTCCTCCCGAAACATCTGCGGGGTGGGGGAAATCCACCCTGGAGGGCAGATCGCGCTCGCGCTAAGCCCCGCGAACTCATTAAAAAGATATTAGCGGCCGGGGCAGGTTCCGCGCAGGTATCGATCGGGCAGAATGCGCCCCAGGAAGAATAGGCGAAGTATGTGGCCGAGTCTAGGCTGGCGCGCCTCGCCGCTACGCAGGGGTCCTGGGTTTCTGTGCCCCAGACCGACGGTGGGAGTGGGCCCCCAGCGGAGCAGGCCCCGCACACTCTCCTGAAGTCCGTGTGTCCCGCAGCGCCCCGCACCTCCCTCCACCTGCGCTCGGCCATGCCCTCCCCGGTTGGCCCCCGCCGGTCCTCGCCCTAGCTCGGATCCTCGCTTCTCCCAGGGTTTTCCGCCGCACTCCTCAGCTAGCCCGCCACTGCCGCCGTCTAGCTTCCCGCACCCCACCTCTCTCCGGGTCCCCCTCTGTTGCTCTTCCTTCCTCTGCCCGCTCTCTTCTTTTGCCTGCGCTCCCTCCTCCTTCCCAGCGCCCTCCTCCCACTTTTCTCCTGCTCTCCGAGAGACTCTGCTTTCTTGTCCTTGTCCCTGCGGTGGCCCAGGGATATTTCTTGCACGCGTGTTGCCCATATAGTTCCCCCTCCCTCCCAGTTCTTGTAGGTCGGTTTGGGACTCCAGAGCTCCCCAGCCGGCACGTACAAAGGCGCCATGGGCTGACGAGGTGGGCGGGGGTGCGGACGGTTGCAAGGCTCCGCGGGGCAAGGCTTCAATAGACTTGATTCTGAAACTGGTCTGAGTGGGGTGGTGGGCGCAGTAACAGCGGCCTTGGCACGGTGAATAAGGCCAGTTCCCCCACCCCCATCTAATTAGTCTCAAAGGCCTGGGGAGAGACACAAAGGCGCGCCCCGGGGCGTCTACATTGAGCCCTTCGAAGAGCCGGCGCTCTTCGAAGGAAACTTCTAGGATA